CTCTGGAGGGGGCGAGCTGTCTAGTGGGAACTTTTTACAACATTCCCAACATATAGAGGGTCTCAAAGACTTTTAAGTAAATTCTGATACTCGTGAATTAACAAAATCAGGGTAAATCAGAATTAATATATTCTGATACTCCACCTTGAGAATGATCTCATACCTCATATTTCAGAATCTTTCCAACTGTTTTGTTTCTGCTGTGCTTTGGCTTCTTGTTAGCAAAAGAAAAGCTGAGAAATTAGCTGGATTTTATGTTAGCTACATTTGTTCATTTCTGTTGGAACTTTAAAAATGTTAGCATCTCATCTGCTTTTGTCTGTGTTGCCATTCTCTATGCATTTTTGCTTTAGTTTACTCCACTCTTACTTTAGTTACATTTCTCGAGGACACAGAGCTAGCTGTTTGTGCCTCTTATAATTTGTCATTAATGTGGTAAATAACAAAGTAGTCATCAGCATGGTGATGTTAACATTGGCTTGTCTTTTGTCTTGGATCCTCACTGTAATGCCCTTGTACTCTTTGAAAGTAATTGTCCTGTTATAGTAGTGTTTATTGCCAAGAGTTCAGCTCCTCCAGAAATATGGTATTTCCATATAACACAGAAGGAAAAAAAAAAGGAAAGATTGTGATGATGTGAATTGATGTGAATTGGGTTGCCTGACTGGGTCCTCACCCCAGCCCTTAAGATTCACCTGCAAGCTCACACAAAAAGATTAATAATGGGTTTATTTACAAGAGAAAAGGGGAATGAATAACTTAGGGAGTGAGAGAAATAAGTTGATTAATGCGCCCTACTGGTTCGATGACCTGGAACCCCAGTAGCATGCTGAAAACCAGTGAAGAATCAAGAGACAAGCTGTGAGCCACGAGGCAAGAGCCCCAGAGCCCACCTCTTCTGTTTCATATCCAAACCTGGCTGCTTAGCTCTACCCTCCGGTCCCAGCAGGCTTCTCTTTGGTGTTGATGGGATTTGTAATTCCGGTGTCTGGGTGGGAGTGGAGTCCACTATTAAGTTCTTTCAGGACATCCTTTTCCCCTTACAATTGGAGCTTAAAACCTTCCTTTTTGTTTAGTTTCCTCACTCAGAGTGCTCAAGGTAGGCAGGTAGGTAGCCTCAAGGCAGGACCCAGCACCAAGAATTGCTCTAGGCTGTGGAGTAGGGTAGAGTACCTATCTATTTTAGGCAGTGGGTTGAGAGTGCATGTTGCTGCCCCCTGTGCGTGGGGTCAGGGTTCAGGATATACTGGAAATTTTTGGCAAGTGACAGATCTTAGATGGGAATATGTAGCTGCCTTCTTCTAACTTAGGTGGATCATTTAAAGAGCAGATGAAGACAACTGCTTTTTTAAGGACTGATTGCCCTTGGTGTTTTTTCTGGTGTGGAGGGCCTGTGTTGTGTTACATGTTGCTTACCCTCTGGGAGCCAGAGCAAGGATGCTTTTGCTGCCCTCCTTGCTGCAGGCAGAGGTGGACGTGGCAAGCTGCTTCATGTGGTCGTGCTAATGTGGTTCATGACAGAAGAGCCTGGGAGGGAGAGGGAAAAAATCACATCTCTTAATGCACGTATTTTCTTACTATTCTGTGGTCAAAAGTAGATGGCAAAATTTCCTGCTCTAGTCTTTCAGGATATACCATGCAACTGGTGATACTGCTGGAGTCCAGTGAAGATCCCACAGGCACTTTAGGAAATTCCATTATCCTGGGCTTTTTTTATGTTTTAACTTCCTAGAGACTGGCTTGTCCAAGGATTGTTTCCTGGGAGTTAATACCTTTGGGGGGGGGGGGGGTTGTCTCTCCACCCTCTTTTTTTTTTTTTCCATTGTTAAGTAAATTTTAGACTGGTCTGAAGCCTGTTCCTTGCAGTCCTTCCCAGTTGCTTGAGTTTCAGTACACTTAATTCCTTAACTCATAAGTCAAGTCTTTTTGTCTTAAAAAGGAAATCCTAACAACTTGGACAGTAAGCGCAAGTTTCTCTCACTGTTAACACAATAGCTGTTTGCATTATCCAGTGACAGAGTATTACACAAATCAAAGATTTGTTTTCTTTCCCCTAATCGACCTTCCTGCTCCCCTGTGTGGAGTACAGCTCACATTGGTAAGTGTGGTTTTTGCTAATATGTTCTGTAGCATTTGATTTTGTAACTGATTTTGAGCTTGGGCCATCTGTCACTACCAAGTGCCAAAACAGACAAGAATTAAATCTTTAAGGGTGCACTTTAGCTTTCTGAAATCAGGCAGTCAAGGAAGAGAAGGGGGTGGTTAACACCCTAAAGAAACTAGTTTAGGGCCCTCCCTGGTGTCGCAGCGGGTTAAAGCTCAGCACTGAGAAGCTAATGCCACTTCAGTATGAGTTCAATCCCCATCCCGGAGGTGATCCAAATGTTGTGGCAGACTTCTCCGACCAGCCCGCTGCTCCCCTCAGCAGTGTATTTCAGTCAATCTACCTGTTCTGCTCCCCACTGTGTCTCTGGTGAAGCCTCTCACTGCTCCTGCACCTCTGGCCTGTACCCCAGTTTTGTGTGAATAAATAAATAAATCTTAAAAAAAAAAAAAAAGAAAAGGAAACTAGTTTAACATTTCATTTCCAGCTGGCTTTTTAATAGTCAGTTGAACAGAGACAGTTCAGACAGCACTGGCCTCCACTGCTAGCCTTAAAGTCTCTCAGCAGTTTGAGCTTGATCTTCTGATAGCACCGGTTTCCCATATTCCCCCAGAAGTGGCCTTGGACTTGAAAATTAACTTAGCGTCAATGGGCCATAAATAATAAGTGTGTGCAGCTTTCCTACTATACCATGCATAATGTCTCCCGTCTCTCTCCGTCTTCCCCAGCCCCTGTCATTTCTAATCAGTGATTTTCTGTGTAGGATGCCTTTCAGTCTCAGCTGCTTCTACTGTAATTATTTTCATCTTTTCTAAATTTGATCAATAGAGGCCTTTTCTGTAGCTGATAGGCCTTTTTATCTTTTCTGAAGACTTTCCTGGAAATGTCTTTGTTTTTTGACAGTGTGACATTAGGCGTGTTTTGCAGTATCCTGTCTCCAAATTGTAGCTAGCTTACTTTCAAGGAACACTAGCTTCTTTTAGAGGAGACCAGTATTAGAGATAAAAATCTGGGCACTGGGGTACATGGTGAGATTGTTCCATGTAATGACTATAGGTAGACAGGGTGATTCCAGATAAGAAGCTCTTGAGTCTGCAGAAGATAGCCTTTTTCAAAAAGTCAAGAGTTTCTGTTACTAGTTTAGTTGTTTCTATCTTACAATCATCTAATTTTCACTTTCATATTCTTGAACTAATTCATATAGGTGTACTAGAGAGATGTTCTAGTTGTAGAAGTTTGGTTTTTTCTTGAACTAATTCATATAGGTGTACTAGAGAGATGTTCTAGTTGTAGAAGTTTGGTTTTTTCCTTTGCTTAACCAGCTATTCAGCTGCTTCTTGTGGACATCCTTTGAACTCCAGCTGCCTGAAAAATAGCAGAAGCCCAACTCTGTGACAAGGAGGCACCGAAGAAACAGTTTTATCTGGCAGCTCAGATGTTGACCCATACAACTAGATAATAATCAGCTATTAGGAAATCTCCTTAAGGTCTTATCTGCAGCTCTTTTTAACTACTGGTGTTTAAGGGTGCTAGTGTTGTTTATCTTACAGGCATGTAAAATTGTTGGACTCAGATTCTTAAAGACCTCAAAATAAATTCAGCTATTCTAAGTCTCATTGTTACAATGGTGTCACATTTTGACTGTTATAATGGCAGCAGATACAGCCAAATTAATATCAGGTATCTTGAGAGATTTTTAAAAACTTACTATAAAAATTTAGGAAACTCCATTCTAGCATCACTCTACATTTTTACACTATTCACTAGGTCCCATAACCATTGTAAGGTGTCAGCAAAATTGTAAGACAGCATTTCAGTCAGATTTTATATTTGTGTGGTAACTAGGTAGCTCCCAGTACCTATAAGTAATTTTTGGCCATTTTCCAGATATTTTCTTTTAGTGTTCCTGGGCTGCTATTGAGTGGAGGTAGACTTTGTAAAGTAGACAGGATTCTGAGGCAAAAAGGCCTAGAGTGGGAATTGGGTGAAGGTTGTATTGGGCCCACTGAAGAAGTATTTGTTAAATGCCAGGTAACCAGTGAAGATGGAGATTTAGACTAGATAGCTGAGATTTTGTGTTATAATAAGAGATATGTGAACTGCTTAAGCCCTTAAAATTTCCCGAGAGACAGAGGCCTTTCAGTACTCTCCCCTTCAGCCTTACCTGACTATGTTAATGAAATGACTCTTGGCAGGTCCTTGGGTGGGATTGACTGCAACCAGCCAACCTTGTTATGAAAAGATTGGAACTTTCAGTCTCACCCTTGGGTCTCCAGGATGGGGTGAGTGGTTGGAGATTGAGTCCAGAGACCAGTGGCTGCTGGTATCAAGCTTGAGTAATGCAACCCTTTGAGCCCCTAAATAATTGGGGTCCAAGAGTTTCTGGATAGTGAAGACAGGGATTGTCAGGGTGCTGTACCTGAGAGGGCATAGAACTCTGCTCTCTCTTCAGTATAGCAACTGATGGTTGCTGTGACAGAGTATTACTAGGTACCTCTTCTGTTTGCCTAATTCTAAGTCTTTTCCTTTATAATAAGCAGGTCATAGTAAGTAAAGGGCTTTCCTGAGTTCTGTGAGCCATTTTAGCAAACTATAAAATCTGTGGGAATCCCTAGATTCCCTAGAAATGTGGGAGGTAGAGGGTTAGTGTAAGTGGGAATTCTCTTGTGTAGCTGAGCCCCTTACTTGTGGTGGCTGAAGCTAAGTCTAGATTTTTAGTGTCAGATTTGAATTGAAATAGTGGAGGTCTAGTGGGTGTCCTGAGAGTTGGAAAGTTGGTTGTTAGTGTGGAAATCCCTTTATACATTTGGTGACCTAAGTGTTGAGAGTAAAAAATTGCCCATACAGGATATTGTCTTTCTGGATATAATTTTGAACCTCCCTGTTTCTTCTATAGGTAAAAAGATGGCGTTTGTGAAGAGTGGATGGTTGCTGCGACAGAGTAAGTACTACACACAGGCCTGTGGTCTGGTCTGGGGTTGCCTTAGAACTCCTGAGACAACATTTGAAAGCAGAATGCAAAGCCTTATTAACACAGTTGCTTGAATTTCCTCTTGGGAATTTTCAGAGTGCTGTGAGTTGTTTCTCTGCATGTGCAAAGCTCCTCCTTGGTTGCTGAATTGGCAGGGACCAGAGAACAGGGGGATAATCCTGTTGGACACTTCTCAGTGGCAAGCTTTAGTATTAAGACTGACCTTGAATCTAACCAGGCCTAACTTAAATACCGACATGGTGATATATAGCTTTCTTTGTGGGAGATATTTGTCTTGTGTGGGGTGATTGAACAGTGACTAAAATTGTGAAACTTAATTATAGAGGTGGAGATTTGATCTGAGAGAAAGAATGTATCTAAATTTTTTGCATTTTCAAAGTGACTCCAGAGAATAGACTCAATTCTTTATAGGATTGAGATCCACTTAGACACATCTCTGTGGGCCCGTCTTTTATCTCCTTTCTGCTTATCTGAGACAGGAGTGTGGTTCAGTGTGTTTTAAAACAGGAAACACTGGTGCTGTTGAAATAATTACAGAAAATATTATTACTACATTAATTTATGACTCCAGTAAAAAACTAAGTTATAAAATACACCATTTTTCAGATATGACTTTATATTGGATGGGTTCAACAGAACTTAATTAAAATTCAGACTAGTGGTAAGTCTTTCATGAATTGTGTTTATACTAGGCAGATTTTATGTGTATTATATATTTCTCACAATAGTTATGTGAGGTTAGGTTGCATTATTCCAGTTTCTTATTGAAGAAATTGAAGTTCAGCAATAAGTAGGTAACAGCTTGTCCAAGTGTTAGCTGTGAGTGGAAAAGCTGCTTCAAACTTGGAACTGTCTTATTTCAACATCAATACCCTTTCTAGTAGGAGACAGGACTTGAACCTGTCTGTCCAAGGACTAGTTCCATACTCCCAGACCTGGAGCTGAGTCAGGTTTCTTCTCAGTCCTGTGGTCTAACACTATATAAATCTGTTGTAATGGTGGCTTTGAGAAGGAAAATCTGTTATATTGGAATCTAACTTCAATCTTTGTGTAAATTTCCTTGTCTTGGACTTTGTGACCCCAAACTCCCCCAAATGATCAGGAGTTGTGAAAAGTCTTGCCAAGACCACAGGGATGAGCTTCCCTGACTCCTCAGATAACCTCTGCTATTGTCCTTAGGCTTAACTATATGCTTGTTTGAGGGCAACCTTTTCTTTTCCGCCCTAACTCAGTGTAAATGCCCTGTCACTGTAAGTTGACGGTTACCTTTTTGACAATATTGTGCCGCCATCACAGCCTAGTGTGATAATACATACAAAATAGATATTCTTTACCTTAAGTTGTACAGATTTCAACATTGTTCTGGTCCATAGCTATTGCAAACATGAGTATTCAGAAGATTTACTGTTTCTCCATCTCCTTATGTGTGGACTTTCCTCCTTAGCTAAAAGCAAAAGTATTAATCACAGCAAAATAAAATGAAATCAGATATGTTCACTGAGTACAGTACAGCAGAGGTACACGTTTGTTCATGTATGAAAAACTCTCTAGAACTCCTTTTTCTGCAGTTGCCAGAAAGACTAGTGTCTTAAGACCCAGTATCTGAATCTGGAGGACAACCTGATTTGAGAATCTCTACCCAAGGCATTGATGGCAGGTAGAGATAGTTGGGTAGAAATTCAAGCCCATTGATTCTACCTGTCTGTTTATTCTGTATGTCTATTAGTGTCTGCATATCCAATTAAATGGGTGGTGGATGGTCACTTATCAGTTTGGCCATCTTGCTGTGGGTACAGCTCTAAGCCAGAAGGGTACCTGATAGTGGTAAAGAAATTTAGAGGCTTGGGCCTCCCTGGTGATGCAAGGGGATAAGTATCAGCATTATGAAGCTGTCTACAGCCACTGCAGCATGAGTTCGATCCCTGTCCAGGGAGCTGATCCACGTGGCGCAGCAGATTCTGTCTTGCCCATTGCTCTCCTCAGCAGTATACTTCAGTGCTTCTGGCTGTTATGCTTGCCACTCTGTCTCTAATGAATTCTTTCAAACCTTACCTCCTCCCGCACCTCTGGCCTATACCTCAGTTCTTGTATAAATAAATAAATAAATCTTTTGAAAAAAAAAATTCAGAGGCTGAAAGTGTTACATAGCTTAGTGATGCCAATAGTGGACATGTAATAGAAAGAGGCATGTTGGAATAGAATAGGGTAGAATCAAGAAGGAACAAAGATGCAGTGGACAGAATGTGGGCATGAATGGAGCTAAACTGGCCTTTACTTTTCTCTTCTGCCTGAGATTAGCATTTTATAAAGTCAAGTGCCTAGTCTAAGATCACAGATGAGTGAATTCTTCCAAACTAATAGAGACATGAGATAGTAGAGGCAGTTGTACACAGTGTAGGAGTCAGGTGATATGAAGGGAAGGGAAAGACTAGGCATGACTATATGTGGAAGTCCTTCAAGAAAAAAACATTTCCAAAGGAGGATGGTATTTTTATTTGTATGTAGAGACTCTGCAGTCCAACATTTTCTGACCCAACTTTAGCAAGTTAGATATAACCAAAGAAGTTTAGATATACCACTTAGGGAATGTAATGTTATGTTCTACTAGGTCAAAACCAAGTTTTGGGGGATATATTAAAATTTTGGGAATTTTAAGATGGTAATGTGCTAGGTATTTCTAGTATATGCTGCTTGCAACCCTGTATAGCATGAGTGTTATTGCCATTAGGATCTCCTTTCACTTCATTTTGATAAACTGTTGATAGTTATGTTAAGGTATACTTTTGGGGCCAGAGGAAAGTTCTTTGTTTCTGTTACCTGTGAATTAGAAGACAAAGTCCTTTTTTTAAAAGATTTATTTATTTATGCATACAGACCTGGGGTACAGGCCAAAGGTGTGGGGGCTGGGCAGTGAGCACATTCACCAAAGCCAGAATGGGGAGCAGAATAATTAGATTGATGAAGTACACTTACGAAGGGAGCAGCGGGAAGGTCTGGAGAGGTCTGCAGTGCCATGTGGATCACCTCCGGGGCTGCGGATTAAACTCACACTGAAGCTGCTGCTGCTAGCTTACAGTGCTGCGCTTTAGCCCACTGTGTCACCAGAGAGAACCCAAAGTTCTTGCTTTTTTTGACCAAAAGCTAACCTTTTCCACTTTTACCAGGTACTATTTTGAAGCGCTGGAAGAAGAATTGGTTTGATTTGTGGTCAGATGGTCACCTGATCTATTATGATGACCAGAGCCGGCAGAGTATTGAGGATAAGGTTCACATGCCAGTGGACTGCATTAACATCCGCACTGGGCATGAATGTCGGGGTAAGTAGTCTTTATTGGCCAACTGCTGTCATCTCCTCTTCCCTGTTCTCTATGGAGTTAAATCTTCTTCTGTTTTCATAAACACATCACAGAAAGGTTCCATCTGGAGAGAGATAACCCATAGCAGAATGCCCAGACACTTAGCTTGTGAACCATATGGTTGGGGCAGATTAATTTTCTCATCCAACTACAGTTCATTAATCCATATTATTTTCACTCACAGAGAAGGTGGTAGAGAAAAAAGGAACTAAAGTGCTAGGAACCTCAAGAAGCATGGAAATGTTGATTTTGTAACTCAGAAACTAAGCATCTTATTTGATGACAACTCTAATCAATTTCTAAAATTTCATGATCTCATGATTTCCTAATGTTATCCCTATGTCCATCTTAAAAGGGATAAAATTTTTTTTTTAAGATTTATTTATTTGTGCATACAGAACTGGGGTACAGGCCAGAGGCTTAGGGGCGGCAAGAGGCTTCACCAGAGACAGAGTGGGGAGCAGAACAGGCAGATCGACGAAGTACACTGCTGAGGGGAGCAGCGGGCGGGTCAGGAGAGGTCTGCCACGCCATGTGGTCACCTCCGGGGCAGGCGGGAATGAACTCATGCGGAAGTGGCTTTAGCTTCTCAGTGCAGTTCTTTAACCCGCTGTGCCACCAGGGAGGGCCCGGGATAAATTTTTAATAAGCATAGACTTTACTGTTTCTAAATAATGGCATCTATAGACTTTTCTTGTTTTACCGACTTGCTATTTGAGTAGAGTCACATTAGTGATAGCTGCTTATAAAACAATTCATATGTTTTTTAAAAAATATTTATTCATACAGAACTGGGGTACAGGCCAGAGATGCGGAGGGTGAGAGGATTCACCAGGGACAGAGTGGGGGCAGAACAGGCAGATTGACGAAGTACACTGCTGAGGGGAGCAGCGGGAGGCCAGGAGAGGTCTGCCGTGCCATGTGGATCTCCTCCGGGGCAGGTGGGGATCAAACTCATGCAGAAGTGGCTTAAGCTTCTTAGTTCTGGGCTTTAACCTGCTGTGCCACCAGGGAGGTTCCTCTGCTCCTATATATTAGTTCTTATGTTAAGAAGGTACAAATGAGATACCTCATATCTCTTATGTTGTGAGCTCCTGCCTCTGCACAGTCGCTGTTGAAACAGGTCTCCATAGACCAGATGTTGAAATCCTAACCTCATCCAGGCTCAAATAGAGCTCTTATTTCTTGGTACAGATACTTTATAAGCTATTTTCACCTTTACAGCAGTGATCTAGTTTGAGCTTCCTGTGAATAAAAGTAGAAAGTATTTTGTTATCTCATGCTTTGTATCACTTTCTATGGTGTGAGACTTATTATCCTCTAATGTCTAGGCACTTCTGTACATATGAGGTATATGGACTGCCTTCTAGAGAAGGCCTATTTGTTCTTCATTCAGGAAGTGTAATTAGAATGGAGCACTGATTCATGTGTTTGGTTCTGTACAATAGAACAAAGATGTTTTATAATTGCAGTATTCTGAAGTACAGATCTTATGCTTACCATAGCTATTAGGTAGCAAATACTAAAAAAAAAAAACAACAAAAAATTTAAACATTCTTTTACTCTGTTTATTTTTCATAGATATTCAGCCTCCGGATGGGAAGCCGAAAGACTGTATGCTGCAGATTGTTTGCCGAGATGGGAAAACTATTAGTCTTTGTGCAGAGAGCACAGATGATTGTTTGTAAGTTATTTTTTTATGTGTTTAATTTTAGGATGTTTTTGTTTTAATTTCCAGTTACCAAGAAGGGACAAGAGTAGGAGTGGAATTTTCCTTCAGCAGAGTAAATGACCCTGAATGTGTGAAAGAAATATAATAGGGTCTTTTTCATCTCTACTTATACTGACTCTAGAACTGTCCAGCATAGGTAGGACCCCAGCATAGTGAGAATGGCAAAACGATATTGGCATCCAGTCTTTTTGAGCTCTCTCTCTCTCTCTTTTTTTTTTCAATTACTAGATCCACAACGGATAATGGGAGTAGGTTGAATGGGTTCTTAAATCTTATTCTTTTTTTTTTTTAAAGTTTTTTTTTTAAGGTTTATTTTATTTATTTATGTATACAAGAACTGGGATATAGGCCAGAGGTGTGGGGGGTGAGAGGATTCACCAGAAACAGAGAGGGAAGCAGAACAGGTGGATCTACTGAAATACAGTGCTAAGGGGAGCAGTGGGCGAGACAGGTGAGGTTTGCTGTGCCATGTGGTCCAGTTCCCTCGCTGGGGATTGAATTCATGCTGTAGTGGCTGCCAATAGCTTCATAATGCTGAGACTTAACTTCTGCCGCCAGGGAGGCCCTGTAAAGTCTTTTTAAAAAGCTTTGATGGGGGCCTTCCCTGGTGGCGCAGCGGGTTAAAGTGCAGCACTGAGAAGCTTAGGCCACTTCTGCATGAGTTTGATCCCCGCCTGCCCTGGAGGTGATCCACATGGCGTGGCAGACCTCTCCTGACCCGCCCACTGCTCCCCTCAGCAGTATACTTCGTCGATCTGCCTGTTCTGCTCCCCACTCTGTCCCTGGTGAATCCTCTCACCCTCTGCATCTCTGGCCTGTACCCCAGTTCTGTATGAATAAATAAATAAATCTTTAAAAAAAAATAAAAAGCTTTGATGCCTGTAATGTGCTGCTCCTTCCTTCCTTGGTGGTTTTCACTCCCATCAACCATCTCTGAAGAAGGGATTTGTGGTGAGGAAACCTGACTCTAGTTATTCTTATCCTTAGCTTTGGCATTAATTCAATCATAATTTTGAAAACACTGAAATGAAATCAGTAGAGAAAAATGTTTCTTTTGCTGTTCTTTCTATAATATTATCGAGTTAATGCTGGATGTGGTAAGACTTCACAAATAGATTGTTATATATTCATATGATTAAATATTCATATATCTTATATTTTCATGGTAGACTAGCTTGTCAAGCATGTCTACTGCCACATTTTGCATATATGGTTATCATCAGTGTAAACATTTGTTCCTTGGTAAACTCTAAGGTTTGTTTTAGACTCCAAAATGCTTCTTTTATTCTCTTCTGATTTTTTTTTTAAAAGACATTTATTTGTCTAGACATAGAGAACTGGGGTGCAGGCCAGAGGTGCACGGGTGGTGAGAGGATTCACCAGAGACAGAGTGGAGAGCAGAGCATCGAAGTACACTACTGAGGGCAACAGCAGGCCAGTCAAGAGAGGTCTGCTATACCATGTGGATCACCTCCAGGACCAGGGATGGAACTTGCACTGAAACAGCAGTGGCTGGCTTGCAGTGCTGCGTCCTAACCCGATGTGCCACAAGGGAGGGCCCTATTCTGATTTTTGTCAGTAGATTTTAAATAATACTTTCTGAAAGAGATGTGGCTTTCCTGGAGACTTATGGAGAAATGACCTCATGTCAGGCTAGTTTGCTAGGTTTTAATAAACTGAAGCTATAAACATTTTTTTCTTTTATTTTTTCCACCTCAGCTGCTATAAACAATTTTCTGAACATTTTCTTTTGGGTGTCTCATGCTAGGGTTTACTTCACCAGCCAGATAATACAGTTTTTCTGTGACATTCAATGCCTTCCAATGACAAGTCCTGGGAGAATCTTCTGGTTTCTGCTGAGTTCCTAGGTGTATTATGTTAAGGGATTTGTCTTAGTTTTTCCAGGAAGTAACTTACTTCCTTAAACAGTATCTCCCAGACTGCTGATTATTACCAAAAATCTGCATGATTTTATGACCTCATTATGTTACTGCTGCTGTGAATTGAGTATATCCTTCTTTGCTTCTTCCTAGTTTTGGTGGTGACAAATGATTCCTTATTCTTCCTTGGCTTATAGCCGCCTACAATCTGCAGCTCTGGTAACATGGTACCCCACTGTATGTTTTCAAATTTCCTCTTATTAAAAAGATACCTGTCTAATTAAGGAGCCCACTTAATTCAGTGTGACCTTTTCTTAGCTTGATTAAATAAGGTCATGTGGAATTATTAGGAATTATTAGTTGAAATACCTTTTGGTTGGGGACAAAACTAACCTGTAAAAGAGACCTCAGGGTAAACAGGGTGAAATGAATTCAGATCACCTTTTTCAACTACCTAGTGATAGTGAAAAAAATTTTTAGCAAGTAAAAAACTCAACTTAAAGCACAAACTACAAAGAATGAGAACTGAAGATAGAAAGGAAAGAATTGTTGAAGAATTGTTGAGCAGTATCACCATTTTAAACCCACCTCCAGCTTCCAGACGCAGCAGCAAGATGAGTTGGTTAAATGTTTCAGGTTTGGTAATACTCTGTACTCTGAAGATATGCTGTGTAAGGGAGTAAAATATTTTTTTTTTTAAAGATTTATTTATTTGTACATCCAGAACTGGGGTACAGGCCAGAGGCTCAGGGGCAGTGAAAGGCTTCACCAGAGACAGAGTGGGGAGCAGAACAGGCAGATCAATGAAGTACACTGCTGAGGGGAGCAGCGGGCGGGTCAGGAGAGGTCTGCCACGCCATGTGGTCTCCTCGGGGGCAGGCGGGAATCGAACTCATGCAGAAGTGGCTTTAGCTTCTCAGTGCAGTGCTTTAACCCACTGCGCCACCAGGGAGGGCCGGGAGTAAAATATTTTTAAGAAGAAATCTGAAAATGATATCCTTAGGATCTTAACAGAGATTGGAAGGTTCCCTCAGAGTACTGGAAGGTATTAAAATTCATGCGGTTAGTATAAATAACTGGGTGATAAAGAAAACCTAAGCATGACACTTTTAAAAGAATATGCTCAGAAGAGTATACAACCCAGATTTTTTGAAAATGACTTACTCAGTCCAATAAGAAATTTCTTCTCTCCATCCTTATGCTTACAGATTATAAAAAAATGATTGAGGGTAATACCTAGTTGTCAAACTATTGCTAAGGTGGAGCTCCCAGTTGATGCCTGTTTAGGTAGTAAGGGTTTGAGATATAACACTATATCAAAACAAATACAAGTTTTTGATGTTCCTTCCATGAGCAGGATGCAAAGAAAAGGCTTCATTGGTACAATATAGTATAAAGGAAAACTCAAAAAAACAAGGCTTTGATGAAAGTCTCATGGGTAGTATAATACAGCCCAGCAAACAGGTAGATTTTTTTCTTTTTAAGACTTATTTATTCATGCATAAAGAACTGGGATATAGGCCAGAAGTGCAGGGAGTGAGAGGATTCACCAGAATCAGAGTGGGCAGCAGAACAGGTAGATGTATTGAAATACACTGCTGAGGGGAACAGAGGGTGGGTCAGGAGAGGTCTGCCACACCATGTGGGTCACCTCTCTGGCTGGGCATTAAACTCATGCTTCAATGGCTGTGGTAGCTTCATAGTGCTGTGCTTTATTCGTTGCACCACCAGGAAGGGCCCATAATTGATTTTTTTTTTCATAATAGACTTTTTTAAAGAATGTTACCATGTTTAAAATGATAAGATAATTGTAATACAGGCACATGTTAAAAAACAAGAAAAGGGATCCTCCCTGGTGGCGCAGTAGGTGAAAGAACAACACTGTGGCCACAGCTGTTATAGCAAGTGTTCAAATCTCCAGCCAGGGAAGTGACCCACATGGTGTGGCAGATCTATCCTGTCTCAGCTGCTGCTCCCCTCAGCAGTGTATTTCAGTCAGTCTGCCTGTTCTGCTCCCCATTTTATCTCTGGTGAGTCCTGTCACTGCCCCTGTGCCTCTAGCCTGTACCCCAGTTCTATATACATAAACAAATTTTAAAAAAAGGCAAGAAAAGTCCCTAGTAAGCAACCTAATGTCACATTTAAAAGAACTAAAAAAAAAAAAAAGGAACCCAAAGTAGAATGAAGAAAATAGTACAGTGCAGTTAAGAGTACAAGTAAATGAAATAGGGATCAAAGACTGTAAAAGAATCAGTGAAACTAAGAGCTGGTTGTTTGAAAAGGTGTAATAAATAAATCTATAGTTAGGCTAACCAAAAAGAAAGAGAGAAAACATAATAAACAGAACTATAAAACAGTATTTTAAAAAGCAAAAGCTGGGCTCTCCCTGGTGGATTAAAGCACAGCACTAAGAAGCTAAAGCCACTTCAGTATGAGTTTGATCCTTGCTGAGAAGGTCATCTACATGGCAAGGCAGACCTCTTCTGGCCCCGCCTGCTGCTCCCTTCAGCAGTGTACTTTGTCTGTCTGCCTGTTCTGCTCCCCACTCTGTCTCTGGTGAAGCCTCTCACCACCCCTACACCTCTGGTCTGTGCCCAGTTCTGTATGCATAAATAAATAAATCTTAAAAAAAAAAAAAAAAAAGCAAAAGCCCAGGACCAGATGATTTTACAAATGAATTTTATCCAACTTTTAAGGAACCAATGTCTACCTTGCTCAAATTATTTTTAATAATACAAGAAGGGATACTCCCTAATACATTTTACAATGCCAGTATTTATTACCTTAATACAAAAACCACACAAAGGCAGCACAGGAAAAGAAAATTGTATACCACTATTGCTGATGAAAACTCTATGCCAAGATGGGAATTGAAGGAACATACCTCAGTATAATAAACCATGTATCACAGAACAATTGCTGATATATTAATATTCAATTGTGAAGAACTGAAACTTTTCTTCATAAGATCTAATACAAGACAAGGAAATAAATACTGTACAACCTGGCAATCCCACTCTTGGGCAAATATCCACAGAATATGAAACCATCAACAAAAATCTCCTATCTTTCACAGTATTCACAGCAGCATTATTTACAACAGGTAGGACATGGAAGCAGACCAGATCTCCTTCAAAGGGACAAATGAATCAACTAGATGTTGTACACACACACCATGGAGTATATATTGCCATATAAAAGGATAAAATGCAGAAATTTTCAGCAAAAGGAAGGAAATTTGAGAGAATAATATGCAACAAAAAAATCAGACTAATAGACTAACATATTGGGCATTCACATAGCAGACAATTTGACAACATAAAACACTTACAAAAAATATGTGAACATCAGTGAACATCCCGAGGGCTCTAAGGCTAAGGAGAGGGGAATGAAAGGGAAAAGGAAACACAAAGGATGGTGGTGGGAGAATTAAAAAAAAAAAGTCATTCCAAAGAGTGAGAATCTCAGTACTGAGCTATAGTCAGAAAAGGATATTTGTAGATAAAAAAAATGCTTACTGTAGAGCACATTTCCCAGCAGCCCTCTGACTTTCTTGCTCAGAGACTAAAATTGTTTCTAAAATAGTTCTGTTTAGGTTTGTTTTTTTTTTTTTTTAAAGATTTATTTATTTGTACATACAGAACTGGGGTACAGGCCAGAGACTCAGGGGCAGTGAGAGACTTCACCAGAGACAGAGTGGGGAGCAGAACAGGCAGATCAACGAAGTACACTGCTGAGGGGATCAGTGGGCGGGTCAGGAGAGGTCTGCCACGCCATGAGGTCTCTTCCGGGGCAGGCGGGAATCGAACTCATGCGGAAGTGGCTTTAGCTTCTCAGTGCAGTGCTTTAACCCGCTGCGCCACCAGGGAGGCCCCTGTTTAGGTTTTTAAAGAAATCAGCCAGGTAGCTGTGTTGGCAGCTATTTATACAACTGGCAGCTTAGAAGTAAAATGTAGTCTTTTTCTTTCTTCTCTCCCTCTTTCTCTCTTGCCAAAGATACATTACTGGTTCCTTGGAATTAAAGGAAAAAATTAGAATAAAATTGTGACATCCTTGTTCCATATGCATACATACCAACTAATTTTTTCATCTGACCAGCTAATTAAGTTTTTTATCTTCTGTCATTGAAATATAAGCTGCAGCCCTCCCTGGTGGCGCAGCGGGTTAAAGCACTGCACTGAGAAGCTAAAGCCACTTCTGCATGAGTTCGATTCCTGCCTGCCCCAGAGGTGACCACATGGTGTGGCAGACCTCTCCTGACCCGCCCGCTGCTTCCCTTAGCAGTGTACTTTGTCTATCTGCCTGTTCTGCTCCCCAATCTGTCTCTGGTGAAGCCTTTTGCCACCCCTAACCTCTGGCATGTACCCCAGTTCTGTATGTACAAATAAATCTTAAAAAATTATATATATATAAGCTGCATGATAGCAGAGATTTTTTTGTGTGTGTGCCCCTTTTGTATCTCTGTAGTCTAGAAGACCTGTCTCAGATTATACCTACCATTCATTTTATAATTCAGAGTAAATGGTCTTCTCTGGAGTACAAGCCAAACGAAGAAGCTAATCTCTGATGATAGAAGATACACACACACACACACAAACATAAACATATACCTGTACATATATATGTGTGTGTGTATACACACACACACACACATCTCCTATCAATAAAGCCAGCATTTTTTTAAATTGGAAAAGATTGTTGATCATCTTAAATCTCCTAAAATATGTAGCTATTTAAAAAAATGAAGCAGATCTGTGTGTGTGTGACATGAACTGAAAATAAGTTGCAATGTAATTAAGTAGGGCACACTTTACATTACAAAATGAAGTAAAATTGTAGTATATATAATACTTTAAATATATATGCACATGCTATTTTTAGTATATATCCCTAGTGAATATCTCAGGTCAGTTGGTTTAGTAGTTCTTTGGCCAATGCAGAAGACTTGTTCTTAAAATAAACTTTTTCAAAAATTCTGATTCCAATGTAGATTTTGAGAATCAAAGATCAGTGTTGGATTATTTCAAATAAGGTTTTCTATTCTTTTTCTCCAGAGCCTGGAAATTTACACTACAGGATTCTAGGACAAACACAGTAAGTTGCTAATGGCAGTCACCAGCAGTGTTCTTTTGTAGTCTTGCTGTAACAGATAGGACAAGAGGAGATTAGGAAAATGAAATGGGGGAAACTCAGTTTTTGATTTTCCAGCCAGCAGTGAGCAAGCAGAATTTAGCAGGTGCATGTCACTGATGATAAACTAGCTGAACTTTGCTAAATATTTTGGCTGGAGAAATCCTAACAAAAGCATACTAATTCCGTTGTTGTTTTCTAGTAATAGTTTTATCTCGCAAAGACTTGGAATACTTTGTCTTGTTGAGGTTTGCCAGGAGGACTCAGAGTTCCTTTTTGTGCATAGGTTTTCAGCCTTGTGGAACAAACATTTTGGGACTTGGCTCTAGTTCTCCTGACAGTTGGTCACTGAGACAGTAGATCCCATTTACAGAGGCTGTGCCTCTCTTGTGTCCCTTCAGAGAGTTAGGGTAACACCTCTGTAGTCTGAATGTTCACTCTTCAGATAGGATTTTATTTTTTTCCTGCATTTCTCTAGGAAGAAAAGAAAAGGGTATATGAAGCTTATGAAAGAATTAGTACGGGAAGGGAAAGAAAGTAAAATCTTACTATTCAAATATCATTGTTTTTAACACTAGCCCAAGCAGTTCTTGACCCAAAGCATGTTCTACATTCTAATTATTTTTTCTTTGATGAAATCCTCTTCCTGGATGAAATTCACATGGTCTATATAGTTAGGGACAAGATCCCAAGAGCATTCTTCATATGATTTTTTTTTTTCCGCAGGAGTGCTCATTTTCTTTTTCACTGGGGAATACTTTTTTATATAACTATAATAGTTTATTTTTACATCATTTTGTGCCTTTTTCCATCTCAGTTGTAATCCTCGTGGACTTCCCATTACCAATTCACCCATGTGCCATCACCATAGCCCTGTGCTCTTCCCTCCCCCCATTTTTGATCCCATTCCACGGGGGAATACTTTTATGAAGGATTTTCATATGAAATGCAAAATGGACTGTATAAAATATTTCTTATTGCTGCATTGCAGGCGGTAGGATTTTTCTTTGTGAGCACAGGGTTGAATGTTACTACACCTTTCAAAAGACTGGGTAACAGTGGAGACTGTGGCCTTGGGTAATAAGCATGTACTTCTGCCTCCTGCAGGCATTTGGGTAGACCAGCTGACTTCTGAGTTCAAAGACCACCACAATGCTGGTGGGAAGTAGGGGTGACAGATAGTCCTCCTGCCACCCATTCCTTCTTAGAGAGCTGTTTATATCCATTGTTCAAAGATCAATTTTTTGGTTTTTAATTTTGTAACATGCTAAAATAAAGGACATGCATACATCATAAAATTGTGTTGTTGCATTGTGGTCACTCTTTCTTGCTTTTTCCTGTCACAGGCTTACGTTGGTTCAGAAGTCATGTATGATGAGATGGTGGTGGCTTCTTCCCCACCTCCTTACACAGCCTATGCCACACCAACCCCTGAGGTAGGGAGCAAATCTTTGTGTTACAGAAAGGCTGCTGCCTTTTATTTTTTTAATCTTGAGCCAATACTAGAGAAATTAAGTTTCCTTTTATAAACGTTTCCCTTTTTATAAAAAGATTATGATCTTTTGCTTTCATAGAACAGTTGCTTTATATCCTTTATACTGAGTTTGTTTTTATGATAGATTCAGAAATGAATTACATTAACGCTCATTGCTACGGTTATATAACTAATGTTTATACTTTATATGTATTCTCTTTAATGTCAGAAAAGAACCTTTTTTTTTAAATTTGAAAAAACAAAAAACCTTCAAAAAAAATCACATATCTAGGAGTGTCCCCAAATTAGAGGTGTTAAGTGTTCAGTGTTACATATAAAAGTCTATTGTGGGCGATAACCTTGCTTTTTTTTTTTTTAAGATTTATTTATTTATGTTTCCAAAAATAGGTCAGAGGTACAAGGTGGGGGGTTGAGATTTCACCAGAGATAGAGTGGGGAGCAGAACAGGCAGATGTACTGAAATACACTGCTGAGGGGAGCAGTGGGCAGCTGAGTAGAGCTCTGCCATGTTATGTGGGTGACCCCCTGGCTGGGGAATCCAATTTGTGTTGCAATGGCTGGGGATCGCTTCATAGTGCTGAGCTATAACCCGTTGCACCACCAGGGAGGGCCCTTATGTTTTTTAACTTTTAATTTTGAAATAATTTTGAATTCACAAGAAGTTGCAAAGGTGTATGGAGAGGTCTCATGTACTCTTCACCCATTTCCCAGTTCTTCTATGTTAGATAAAATCAAAATCAGAAATTTGAAATTGATAATGTTTATGTCTAGTTCTGTGTCGTTTTGTAGATTTGTGTAATCACAATCTCAATGAAGTCAGAACTATTGACAAGATCATCCTACCCCTTTTGTAATCACATCAACCACTTACTTGTCCTTCATCTCTATAATTTTGTCATTTTTATGACGTCCTATAAAAAGAGTCGTACAGCAGGTTACCATTTTTCACTGTACATGATAGTGCTTATTCATTCACATTGTTGCATTCATGTATTACAAAATGTGAGGGTATAGAAATCAGTTGATTTTTGTATGTTGATCTTGTAGCTTGTGAACTTTCTAAACTCTCTTATTAATTTTAGCAATACTTTATTTGTCATTTCTTTGGAATATACTTCATAGACACTCATGTCCTTTGCACATAGGAGACATCCATCTTTCTTTGCCAGTCTGCATGCCCTTTTCCTTGTGCAGGCTGGCCTCATTGTCCCAGTCAGGACTTCGAATATTATGCTGACTGGCAGTCATGAGAGCAGTCCGCCTTGCCTTGTTACTGATTGTTAGGGGGAGTTCAGTCTGTTTTCCGCATTAAGTATGATACTGGTTATAGCTTCTTCATCAAGTTTTCCTTTTCTAGTTTTCTGAGACTTTTTGAATGAATTTGAGTTTTTGAATGAGTTTTCATGAATTTATATTGAATTTTTGTCACATACTTTTCTGTTCATTTAGTCATTGATTTACTATTTTTTTAAACCCATTTTTATAATGGATTACATTGATTGATTTTCAGATATTGAACCCTCTTGCCTCCATGGAATAAACCTCACTTTGGGATCATTTATAGTTATTTTCATTTATTGCTGAATTCTCTTTGCTGACATTTAATAAGTATTTTTTAACCTATAATCATGAGGGATATTGGGTTATAGTTTTCTTTCTTGTACTCTTACTTTGGTATTAGGTAATAGGGACTTTATAAAATGAGTTGGGAAGTAGTCCCTGCTTCTCTGTTTTCTAGAAGATATTGATATTTTTCATGTAAGTTGTCTAATTTATGCCTGCCTTGTTGTCATTGGATCCATACACGCTTAATATCGTCAGTAGTTTTACCCTGTTAGCATAATGTAATATCATTTTCTCTGTTTCTGGTAATTTTCTTTAGTCTGATACTTTATTTACATTAACCCAGCTATTTCTTCTTGCTGTTGATTAATGTTTGCATGGATTTCTTTCCTCACCTTTTTTCTTTTACCCTGCATACATTATTATATTTGAAGTGAGTTTCTCATAGACAGTATATAATTGCTTCACCCTCTATCTTGGCATTGGTGTAGTTAGGCAATTTACATATAGTGAAATTTTGGATATATTAAGAGTGAGCTACCTAAATTTTTGTTTTCTTTTGATGGTGTTTTTAATCTCTTTGTTCTTTCACTTAACCTTTTTATGAATTACACTTTTTTTTAAAAAGATTTATTTATTCATACAGAACTGGGGTACAGGCCAGAGATGTGGAGGGTGAGAGGACCAACCAGAAACAGAGTGGGGAGCAGAACAGGCAGATCGAGGAAGTACACTGCTGAAGGGAGCAGGGGGGCGGGTCAGGAAAGGTCTGCCCCGCCATGTGTATCACCTCCAGGGCAGGCGGTGATCGAACTCATACTGAAGTGGCTTAAGCTTTTTAGTGCTGTGCTTTAACCCACTGCGCCACCAGGGAGGGCCCCGATTACACATTTTTAAAAGTACATTTTGGTTTATCTGTAGTATTTTTGAATATCTCTTTGTACTGCCTTTTTTAAAGTTTTAATTACTACATTATAACATGGATTTCTACATACCTGTATGTATGTATCTTTCAAAATAAAGTGTTAACTTTTTACTAGTTAAGTATCAAGTTTTTACCTTTTTTCTTCCTCATTTTATAATATGATTATCTTAAATGTTTCTTTAATATACACAACCATAACTAGATGCTGTTATAAATTTTGCTGCAGTTGTCACCTGCCTGCCTTGCCCAGACAGCTACTACTAAGTTAGTGGTGCAGCTGAATTGAAATCCAAGTCTCTTGCAAGTCTAGTCCTTTAGTTGTTACGTTTTTCTGTCTTTTTTATTGGAGTCTAAAAGTAGATTCCACTTGTATTTATTTATTTATTTTTAAAGATTTATTTATTTGTGCATACAGAACTGGGGTACAGGCCAGAGGCTCAGGAGCGGTGAGAGGCTTTACCAGAGACAGAGCAGGGAACAGAACTGGCAGATCGATGAAGTATACTGCTGAGGGGAGCAGCGGGCTGGTTAGGAGAGGTCTGCCACCATGTGGTCACCTCTGGGACAGGTGGGAATTGAACTCATGCGGAAGCGGCTTTAGATTCTCAGTGCTGTGCTTTAACCCGCTGCGCCACCAGGGAGGGCCTGTATTTATTTTAATATTAAGAAAAAAAGGCATAGCTATCCTCTCATTTTTTAAAATTAACTTAAATTTTGTTGAACGCAAACTGAAGAACCATTTTAATACATTACTAGGGGCAAAACTGTGTCTCTAATGGACCTATTTCTTTTCGGCAGGCATATGGCTATGGTCCATACAGTGGTGCATACCCACCAGGAACTCAAGTAGTTTATGCTGCGAATGGACAGGCTTATGCTGTACCCTACCAGTATCCCTATGCAGGTAACTCATGCCATTCTTGGTGCCTTCTTTCTCTTCATTTAATGGGAAGATCAGAGAAGCTCAAATAATTTTTATTTCTCAGTTTATGGATAATTTAGCTATTTTCTGGTTATATACATAACAGATCACTCTGCTAACTATGCTTTGTTTTTTTTTTTCAATAAGCATTTTGTGTTTTTATACTGCTTTACAAAATTAAAAGACTTGATTTTTTAATTTATTCATACAAAAACTGTGTTCCATCAACCACACCTCTCCCCAGAGGTGCAGGGTGAGAGGAATCACCAGAGACAGTAGGGGACAGAACAGATGGACTGACTGAAATATACTGCAGAGGGGAGCAGCTGGAGAAACAGAAGAGGTCTGCTGCGCCATATTAGTCACCTCCCTCTTGTGGGATTGAACTCATGCTGCAGTGGCTGCAGATAGCTTTATAGTGTTGAGACTTAATCTCTTGCGCCATCAGGGAGGCCCCTAGACTTGGGTTTTAAAAAAAACTTCATATTATATTCGCATTGGTTTCCATTTGTCTGTGGATTCACTTATATTAAGAAGCAAGTACAGTACTTTGTTGCTGCTTGCTCGAGCCATGCCACCGGATCATGGTTTTAAGCTGGCAATTGAAGCTCCTGATATCACCTAGGTTCCAAAAGTGGCGGCTGTACTGGCCAGCCTCTTCCTGCATTGCTGCAGGCAGCCAGATCCAAGACTGCCTAGACTTATGCTAACTGTGCTACTTCCTGGCTGGAGTATTGCCGATGATGTGCCAAAACAGCAGGTGCTCCTTGGGGTGGAGTAAAGGCGTTATTACAAGCTCACAGTCATCATTACAGACATTACGAGTAGTCTATAAATTGTGTGCTGTTCTTCAAAAGAAGGGATACCTTGGATTGTACAAAGGGAACAATGCAATGAGGATTCACTTTTTTAAAATTTAATATCCAAGAGGGCAGGTTTATGAAGAAATGAAAGAAAAGGAGAGGTACCAATGTAGCATAGGAGGACAGGTGGGACACGTTTGTTAAGATTGAGAAAAAATATGCCCACCTGCATAGACAGAGTGGGCAGTCTTGGGGAGAGAGCTATCAAGGATTCAAATCTTTTTCTTTTCTTCTTTTTTAGAGAAAAGTTTATTAAGGAGAAAAGGAACAGAAATAAAGTCTGAGTCTTTTTCTATGGTGTAGTCCAGTTTATGGTATTTGAACATTAGTAAATGTTCACTATTGCAAAGGTGGGAGTTTCTGTACACAGTTTCTTGTACACAGATTAATGTCTAGATCCATGGTAGTTATTCCTTTTTTGAGCCACTTGAAGCCAGTAGACTACTTAAAAGGCTGGGGTTGTGTGACCGGGAAGGACAAAATAGATGAATGAGTGCATATGGGAGGGCTAAGACCAAAATGATCAGATTAGGTAAGAGAAGAAAACATGAGGGTTGTAAGAATTTATGAAAGTTGTGAAAATAAGGTGGATGGGAAAATCTTAGCAAAGTGTTGTTTGGCCAAATTGTGTCAGCATAATCAAACTTCTAATGGTCTCGTATTTGCCAAACTACTTAGCATCAGTCATTCCAAAAAATTGGAACTAATTTATAACTTTAAAGAAGGCAAGCTAATTAAGACCCCCTTTAAGAGGTAAGAGGTACTCTTTATCTTGTCTTTTTTTTTTCCTTGATAATATCCTTGGAAGATTGTCCCTTCTCTTCTGAGGTATTTTCATTTTACAAATGAAAGGCCTGCAAGGGTTTATGTTTATTCTGGGTTTTTAGTAGACTTTTTTTTTTTTTTTAAGATTTATTAATCTGTTCTTACAGAACTGGGATACAAGGCCAGAGGTGCAGGGGGGTGAGAAGATTCACCAGAGACAGAGTGGGGAGTATAATGAGCTGTCATATGCCCATTACCATCTTCAGCAGTTATCACATAATGGCTAATTTTGTTTTATCATACCTCATTCCACCTTTGGATTGCTTTTAAAAATTACTCATTTATATATATTTTACATCTTTGGTCAATTTTGTTCAGTGTTTGCTTTCTTTTCTCAGGTGTAGTCCCCATAAATTCCCACCACCCTTTTACCTGTGCTCCATCTCCACAGTCCCCAGTGCTCTTCCTGACCGTTTTGATCCTCTCCTTCCCCGTTCCCTGCCCAATGTCTCTGATTTATAGTTGCCTGTTTATTTTTGTTTTGTTTCTTTCTTTTATTATTACTTTATCCCTTATCCTTTCTTTCGTTCCTTATATCGTATATAAGAAGTTGTAAGTGAAACCATCTGATACTATTCTTTTTCTTTCTGTCTTATTTCACTGAGCATAATCCCTTCTAGTTCCACCATGCTGCTGAGAATAGCGTCAGTTTATCTTTTTTTGATTGCTGAATTGTATTGTTTTGTTGAGGAATATCCAGATTTTATATCATTTCATCTGATGATAATTAGTGTCTTGAAACCATTTGCCAAGTTGGTTCTGGAACAATTCACCAGTTTATAATGCTACTAACAGTTAATGATATACTACTGATTTCTCTGTAGCCACATAAAGATTGCCTGTTGCTGTTAGGCTCTAAAAATTTTGATAACCTCATTTGTCTAAAGTGGAATCATCAGGTTGCTCAAGTTTATATTTCTGTTTATAAAGATGAACATTGTGTAGTTATTTACAAATTAGAATTCCCTTTGTTTTAGTTATTTTCCTTTGCCCACATATCTTGGGTCCTGATGGTGGTGGTGGGTTTTAAAAACTTAGCCTAACCCATACCATGAGCTCCAACCAGCTTCTGATCCAGCTCTTATGCCACAGACGGGGATAATACTAGCTGATTTTTTTTTTTTTTTAAAGATTTATTTATTTGTGCATACAGAACTGGGGTACAGGCCAGAGGCTCAGGGGCGGTGAGAGGCTTCACCAGAGACAGAATGGGGAACAGAACAGGCAGATCGACGAAGTACACTCCTGAGGGGAGCAGCGGGCGAGTCAGGAGAGGTCTGCCACGCCATGTGGTCTCCTCCGGGGCAGGCGGGAATCGAACTCATGCGGAAGCGGCTTTAGATTCTTAATGCTGTGCTTTAACCCGCTGCGCCACCAGGGAGGGCCAATACTAGCTGATTTTTATAAAATGATATAGCAGAAGTTTGCAGACGTTCTTGTAAAGGGAATTTCTGACATTTGGATTAATTCCTTGTCCTTGGCTTTCTTCATAAGGAAAAAACAAAACAAAAAACCAATATAGTAACCTCACCAGCGAATACTTGCTACCCAGGGCCTAGTTAAATTCATCGGGATTCAGCCAGCAGTTGTACTTGCTGTGTGAGGGCCCATTTGGTTGGTGGTCATCACCCCACGGCAACATGACATGACAGCCAGCTCCCTCTTCATCTTTCCAAGACCACAGTGCTTTGCTGACTTCATGACATTTTGCCTTCCAGTGTCCACAGAGACCCTTTATGTATGGAGCTCACTAAAGGCCTTTTCTTTAATGTGATGGGAACAGTGGTGCATCAGCTAATTTTAAAAGTACCAAGTGTGCTGTATGCACACTATTTTGTTTTACCCATGTTTGTGGCCATTTGTTGAGCAGTCTTCCAATGTGGATCTAAGGTCTTTATGTTGGCTTCCTTGGTTAGAGCCTCCTATTTTTGCCTCATGGAGGTCATCCTCTTGATACACCATGGCTCATGGTTTCAAGAGGCAAGTCTCAGAGCAGACCTTTAGATTCTAGGAGTCTGGGTGCTCTCTTCCCATCTTTTATAAGTTACCAATTCCTTAGTTTCATAGTAATTAATAAAGTTACCTGCGTTTATTTAGTTTTCCTGAAGTCACTTGACTGACTTGATTTTTATCACAGAAAGCAGTGTCTGCCTTTTCCACATTTACATTGTGATCATTTATGTAAAGCTTAGTTAAATTGGGTAATCAGAATAAGTACAACTTGGAAATGTTAGCAGCTAAGTTTGGTAAGGACTTCTGCCAAGTTTGTAGAAACAGAGACTCCAGATGCAGTCCCTGGACAGGACTGTAGATTTTCAATTTTCCCGGGGATCGCTTAGTAATGATAGTTTATAAAATCCCACTGTATTACATTTTACTAGTTGGAGTTCCCTAATTGAAAAATACTGCATTTAAAGATTATAAAAAGGATTGCCACAGTTTACCAGTTTTGAAATTTAACATTGTATTTAAAGTCATTTGCTTCTGATGCTCTAACCTGTACTCCATCAGCCCTTAGTTTTATTATGGTCTCATGCTACTACTCTGTGGGTTCCAGTTTTTTCTCTTTGTTTTATTTGAGGCATTCATTAGTGGTTATGAGCTCAGACTGTAGCACTAGGTGTAATCCCTTACTAGGTGTACAACCCTTAACTCCTGTGTGCCTCAGTTTTGTCCATCTGTAAGAATAAACTTTTATTGTGGAGATTGAGTGGGTACACGTAAATACTTAGAATGGAAGCACTTATAAATGGCAGCCTTCATTATCATTATGGTTGCAGTCAGCTCTCATCCACATGAACACTCTGTGACAATAGTTTCTAGCTCTTCTAGGGCTGAACTGTTAAAGAAATCGTGGTTTACAAAAAAAAGAAACGCATGTCCTTTGCAGCAACATGGATGGAGCTGGGAAAGATCATGCTTAGTGAGATTAGCCAGAAAGAAAAGGAAAAATACCGAATGGTTTCACTCATCGCAGAAGTATAATGGACCAGGTGAGAAAAAAACAACAACAAAAAAACCCCCAAAAAACCCAGCTATATACCAGAGACAATTTATGGGGGTGGAGTGGGGAATGGGATCAAAACAGTGGAGGGAGGGAAATGTACTGGACTTTGGTGATGGCACATGGGTGATTTGGTGATGGGAAGCCCAAGGGGATTACAACTGAGATGGAAAAATGCACAAAAGGATGTAAAAATAAACTTTAATATTATTTAAAAAAAAAAAGAAACAATAAAAAAAAAGTCATGGTTTA